GGGGTTGTTAACCAATGTCATAAAACAGCATGTGTGTTACTGTTACATGAGAAACTATCTGTTCTGTAAGCCTTCACCTGAAGTACAATAAAATATTAAAAAAAAAAAGAGTGGGAGGTAGAATCCCTTACTCTGCCAAGAGACATCTTTTGATCTTGAGGCTCTGGGTTAAGAACCCCATGAACTCATTGCCATCAAGTCAATTCCAACTCATAATGACCCTACAGGACTGAGCAGAACTTCCCCCATAGGGTTTCCAAGGCTGTAACCTTTACGGGAGCAGATCTCCAGGTCTTTTCTCCTGAGGAGTGGCTGGTGTGTTCAAGCCACCAACATTTCGGTTGGCAGCTGAGCACTTAACCACTGCGCCACCAGGCTCCTTCTGGGGCAAGACTACTCCTTAAAAACACTAGTTTGTTTGCTTTGTTTTTCCCCCTTTGATCTGTTTTGCTGCTTCTTCATTATCATTTAGGTATTGGCTGGACTTGAAATCCTCAGATATCATATGGAACATGTCTGACACGGGCTGGATCAAAGCTGCCACTGGCAGTATGTTTTCTTCCTGGCTTCAGGGAGCCTGCGTTTTTGTGCATCAGATGGCCCAGTTTGACACAGACACCTTCCTAGATGTAAGTCATGACCTTCAACTACACTTACCTTTAGAGCTCTCTCGTCTCACACAAAACCACAAATAAATGACTCCTTAGAATATACGGCTTCTTGGGCTTATAGAAAGCAAATTTCCCGTAACACTCAAGCATGAAATCCAGTCTTCTGTTTCAAATTGTTCAGGATTTGCTAGTGTCATTAAATCTATGGCTGCTTAAAAACCTAGTTCTAAATAACAGATTAGAAATCTTACGTCTAAACAAATATTTGGTTTCTGATTCAGTGAAACAAAGACAATAACTGGTAAATCTAAATCCTATGTGGAAGAGATTAAAGGTGGGGTCACCTTTCTCCCAGAGTGGCCCCTTCCATCCTCCCCCTACTCTATACTTCTCACTTTGTTAATTCTCAGCACTCAATACTGTCCCAGACACCAGGCTTGACCTTTCTTCTCAGCCAGAGATGGCAAGATTGAGATACCAGAGAGGTCCGATTTCTTTAGCCTTAAGGAAAACGTGATTCAGGCTAATTATTTTTCAACCGTGAAAAGTCAATTAAGTTTAACAAAACGCATATTATTAAATAAACAGCATACCTGTGTATGAATAAAAGCTATGTTCACCCTGTTATTCTGCTAACTGGTCTGACAAGATGGCTTGAGGGTCTTAACAGAAATCTAGCGTAACGTAAGAACTAGCATCTCTACATTGGGTTTACAAAATGCCCTGAAGTAGATAAGTGAAGTTTGCAGTTTCAAAGCCTACATTTGTAAATTAAGAATAATATTCTTTCACCAAGATAATATGTGTATTATAAATGCTATAAAAATCTTTATGGATTTACACTATTGTTGATTATAGACATTATACTTAGTAAAACAAGTAGAATGAAGGGAGCAAGTACACACAGTAGAAATGTTCATTTACAGATCAAAAGCTATTCTGAAATACCAAGAATAGGTGATAGTTGTACAACATGATGAATGTAACTAATGTCACTGAATTGTAGACTTAAAAAGGCTTAAAATTGCAAATTTTTTGTTATATATATTTTGTTATCGTTATTGTTGTAAGTAAAAGGAACCCTGATGGTGCAAATGCCAAGTGCTCAACTGCTAACCAAAAGGATGGCAGTTCAAACCCATCTAGCTGCTCCACTGGAGAAAGACCTGGCGATCTGCTCCTGTAAAGATTACAGTTTATGAAACCCTATGGGGAAGTTCTACTCTGTTATACGGGGTCGCCATGAGTTGAAAATTGACTCGATGGCAACTAACATCATCATTGTTGTTAGCTGCCATCAAGTCAATTCCATCTCATGGTGACCCCACGTGTGCACAGTCAACTACCCCATATGGCTTTCAAGGTCGTTACCTTTCAGAAGCAGATCACCAGGCCTGTCTTCCTAGGCACCTCTGTGTGGGTTCGAACCACCAACCTTTTGGCTAGTAGTCGAGTACTTAACTGTCTGTGCCACCCAGTTGTCTTATATATATTTTACCATAATAATACATTTTTAATTTTTGAAAGAAAGCAAGCTATTTTTAATCTATAACAATCCAAATAGCCTAGACATACACTGTGAGCACCCTCTTCCAAATGCTTAAACTTAATACAAATTATCAACACATTAAGTGGCAGAATGGAACCCACTCCAGAAAGAGGACCTTTAAAACATCAGTATTTCTCTAGATTTAAGGTATCTAGTTGTTATTTTTATTTTAAAGACCCCGACGTATAATGAACCCAGAAAATCTTAAACAATTAAAGCCTGAAAAATCCTTTACATAGGCATTTAATCAATTCAATAAAAAAGACTGACTTCTCTTACAGGAATGGTGCTAGAAAGGTACTGGTGGGTCAACTTATACATCCAGCGTCAGTGCTATGCATGAATAGAAGGGCAGAGGATTTTAAGATCCCACTGTGGAAGGTACTTTATACCCCTGAAGTAGAATAAGCCAAGTCATATTTTGTGGCTGTTCTCAAATTTGATGTGTATGCCTGTTACTGTAACATATGCTCATTATTTCCAATAATCAGAAATTACCAACAAATATATAGTCACTAGTGACAACTAACGGTGCTTAGTGGTGCAGTGTTTAAGTGCTCAGCTGCTAACCAAACAGTCAGTGGTTCAAACCCACCAGCCGCTCCCTAGGAGAAAGATGTGGCAGTCAGCTTCCATAAAGATTACACCCTTGGAATCCCTATGGGGCAATTCTACTCTGTCCTATAGTGTTGCTATGAGTTGGAAATGACTCAATAGCAATAGGGTTTGGTTTAGTGACAACTGATAAATATTAGCTGGTGGCACAAGCAGTTTGCGTTCAACTGCTAACCTAAAGGTTGGTGGTTCAAACCCACCCAGCAGTACCACAGAAGAAAGGCCTGGCCATCTGCTTCCATTAAGATTAAAGCCAAGTAAAACCCTATGGAGCAATTCTACCCTGTAACACATGCGTTGAAATCAACTCAACAGCAACAGGTTTTTATTTCTGGTAGTGACATATTAATGGAAGAGAATGGGAGGTTGTTAAGTATCAGCTCTGTTCTTGACCTATAGCTAACCACTCTGACATGTTTCTTTAACAATTCATCCAGACGCTGACCACTCACCCCATCACGACACTGTGCAGTGCTCCCATCATGTACCGAATGCTTGTGCAAAAAGACCTCAAGATGTACTTGGGCAGAAATCTCCACTTGAACCACAATGAACGCTATCATCTAACATCACAGATCTCCCCACTGCAGCAGAGGATGGCCCAGGGCTTCTCAATCGCGGCACGAGGGGCATTTAAGGCCAGATAATTCTGTGTTGCTGGGGGTTGTCCTGTGCATTGTAAAATGTTTAGCAGCATTCCGGGACTCACCCACTAGATACCAGTAACAACCCCCTCCCCCAAACTGTGACAACTCAAAACGTCTCCCAAAAAAACACACCAAACCCGTTGCCACTGAGTCGAGTCCGACTCACAGTGACCCTACAGGACAGAGAACTGCCCCATAGGTTTCCAAGGAGCAGCTCATGGATGCAAACTGCTCACCTTTTGGATAGCAGCGGAGCTCTTAACCACTGCGTCACCAGGGCTCCAAAATGTCTCCAGACATTGCCAAAAGTCCTCTGGTGGGCAAAATCATGCCAGTTAAGAACCACTGAGATAGTGTTTAGAGGCAACTGGACCTTTTCCTCAGGACAACCAAAGCTCTACAGTCCCAGAACTCCTACCCCAAAAGACTGTCTTTCAGTACCACTCATAGATCAGAAACAGTTCAGAAGAATTGGTAGTCTGTTTTTTAAAAAAAACTGCATTTATATTTCCTTGAACGGAAGGCTAAAGAAGTCTTACGGGATTATATTCAGTTCAGCCAAATCATCTGCACATACAGTGGAGTTACAATTACATTTATTTAACTAATATAAATAGAGCTCATGAGGAAAGAAGGAAACGAAGAGAGAGATGGTTTAATTAATGCCAGCTCTTCTACTTTCTGTTCCCTCCGAGGTACAGAGGCCCAGGAGGGAAAGTGGTATGAGAGACAGAATAGAGCAGATAAGAATCTCTTTTCCTAGTCGTCAACTCCTTTGTGGCCCTCCAAATTGACATCTGAAGTCAACATCTTGCTTACTTTTCAAGGATGATTCAAAGGTTATTCAAGGATGATTCTGAATACACACAATTGGTGTCCTACCCACCCCCTCTCACGCATTTGGGACTTTACTCTATCAGAGGTGGGCTGTTCCAAGCTTTCTAACCTGAGTCCTGTGGGCAGCTGAGTAGTAAGAACGGTGGCTAAAAGCTCAAGCTCCAAAGCCAAACAGGCAGGGGTCTGCTACTTATTAATAGTGTGAACTTAGGTAGTCAGGATGACCCTGCTAAGCCTGTTAACTCCGTCCATAAGGAGCCCTGGTGGCACAGTGGTTAACCGCTCAGCTTCTAACTGAAAGGCCAGTGGTTCAAACCCACCAGTTGCTCCGTGGGAGAAAGATGTGGCAGTCTGCTTCCATAAAGATTACAGCCTAGGAAACCTTATGGAGCCGTTCTATTCTATCCTAGATGGGTTGCTATGAGTTGGAATCAACTCGACAGCAATGGTTAATACATGTGGCACACTTGATGCATTATCTGATTAAAGGTACTGTACAGAGTTTCCCACTCAGCCATTTATTATTTGGGAGGCCTCGGCAGGTTCTTTAACCTCTCTGAGCCTCGATTTCCTCTTCTGTAAAATAGTGTTGTTGTGAGGATTTTAACAGTGCTCATAAAGATTTCTCCTTACCTCTTACAATGTAAGCTCTGTCGGGAACCTTGTTTTAATCACAGACATGTCCCACATGCCTAGAACAATGTCTGGCAATGTAGTAGGTCCTCAACAAATGTTTGTTCAATGAACTTTCCTAAGACCCACCTCCCCTAGCTCATTTGCTTGTTGCTTGAATGCCATAACTACCTTGCACTGAAAGGCTCTCAGATTATTTCTCCAAAGAGTCCATGCAACTTTTTTTCTGCAGATATAAATTCAAGAAGCTGCGGCACTGTTTGACAGGAGGGGAGCCGCTCAACCCGGAGGTGCTGGAGCAGTGGAAGGCACAAACTGGGCTGGAGCTGTACGAGGGCTACAGACAGACAGAAGTGTATATTCAAAGGGCAAAGTCTGAGCTTAGCATGGTGGGAGCCTTTCAGCCCCGTGACTCTTAACAGAGCCCCTGGAGTGTCCCCATCACACTCTGAATTTTTATGGAGTTTCCCAGAATACTTACCTTGCCAGGAGTTACCAAAGCTTGTGAACTGTCCACTTAGGCTTGGCTGAAGGGGAATTATGATTATTCCATACAGCCTGCCTGTCTCCTCCTGCACAGGAAAAATCTCAGGGATGTTAAGAGTTGGAGAGGTCCAGAACAGAGCAGCTCATCTTTCCACTGAACTGGGAAACGTCTTAAGGAGCCTCTGATGGGAATTTATTCCAAGGTGCACTTAATGTTACCCTGAGCCTAAAGCAGTAGTTTTCAAAATGTGGTGGTCACCAAACCAGCAGCAGCAGCATCTGGGAACCTGGTAGAAATGCAAATTCTCAGGCTCCACCTCAGACCTAATGAATCAGAAACTCGGGGATGGGGCTCAGCAATCCGTGTTATAACAACGTTCCAGGTGATTCTGATGCACACTCAAGTTTGAGAACCACTAGTCTAAAATAATACATTCCAGAAGATAAGCTTGCATAGTGAGAAAATCAGCCGAAACTGAATCTTCAGTTTCATTCTCATGATACAGACACAGAAAATAGATTTTTGCATACTTATATAAAGTACGTCTTCTCAATAGGGCATCATTTGTGCCAATCAGAAAGGACAAGAAATTAAGCCAGGCTCGATGGGGAAGGCGTACTACCCTACGATGTCCAGGTGGGTTAAGAAAATACCTGACTGGTTCAGTAAAGAAGAGATAATGCTTTACGGTTTTCTGCTATTCATAACCCATTTTCATTTCATGAAAAAAAAATTTTAAGAACCTAAGTCGTTTCTTTCATTCTAGATTATAGATGAAAATGACAATATCCTACCACCTGGCAAAGAAGGAGAAATTGCCCTCAGACTAAAGTCTACACGGCCCTTCTGCTGCTTCTCTGAATATGTGGTATGAGAATGTAGAATGTGCTAGTCACACTTTAATAAGAAAAGGTGGTATTCAGGATCATACAGGCCAAATTTCATAGCCATCATTTCTTGCTGTGTTACCTTGGGCAAGTCACAAAATCCAAGTCTATTTCCTCAGCTGTAAAATGAGGAGAATACCATCTGTCTCCTAAGAGTTTTGTGAAGATTAAATTCTATGTGTAAGAAACTGGTTGCAGTGGTTGTCTTCAGAAAGGAAAACTGGGTAGGCAGAGGGGCCTACAGGAGTGGAGGCACTAGAGGTGGAAGACAGGCTTACATTTTATTATACTCTTTTGGACCTTTTGTATTTTATACTAGGAGCTACTCCTCAAAAATTAATTTCTTTTAAAAATAGAACGTGTGATGCACTAGTCACTTAGTGGGTGCCATACCTCCTTCTCTGTTCTGACCAAATTAATCCCCAAATGTCATCTGTGATTCCTAGGACAATCCAGAGAAAACTGCCGCCACGATGAGAGGAAATTTTTACGTCACTGGAGACAGAGGAGTGATGGACAGTGATGGGTATTTCTGGTTTGTCGGCAGAGCTGATGATGTCATTATGTCCTCTGGGTTTGTAGATTTACCACACTCAGCAAGTAAAACTTTGCCAAAGAGAGTCTCCTCCTTTGGTGCTGTAGTAACCAAGGGCTCCTTCTCCTCTTCTAGGCACCGCACTGGGCCATTTGAAGTGGAGAGTGCACTAATTGAACACCCGGCAGTTATTGAATCGGCTGTTGTCAGTAGTCCAGATCCAATCAGAGGAGAGGTAGAGTACATGTCACTAATTAAAGCAGCAATTTCATAGTTTCAAGTTCCATGCATTTGATCACTGTAAAGATTGAATCAAGAGAAGTCATCTACTTCTCATTATGAGGCACAGATGTGGCACAAATGTTTAACAGGCAATCAAATTCACAAATGAGCTGTGTCCCAAGGGACAGGTATTAGGATTCTTTTGGTAGCAAATGACAGAAACTCAAGCTGACTTAAGTAAAAAAATAAAAGAGATTTTATTGGCTCACTTAAGAGGAAGGCCCAGGAGTAGTCAGGCTTCAGATACAGCTACATCCAAGGGTTCATGTCTCTCTCCATTTCTTGGCTCTGCTGTTATGTTGGCTCTATTTGGGCAAGTCCTTCCTACTTGGTGGCAACTAACTCTAGGCTTACACAATGGCCCCACTGGAAGGAGAGAGCTTTATTTCCAACAGTTTCAAGCAACTCCCAGGGTCACATTTGCGTATCCTGGTTAGGGGAATGGTATATGCTGACTGGCCAGACCTGGATCATGTGCCTGTCCTTGGACTTGGTGTCAACCCCACCAAAGAGAAGTCAGAGTAATCCTCCACAGGAAAATCAGGTTACTCTTAGTACAAAAGGACAAATGGATACTGCATAAGCAAAAGCAAGATTTCACTGTACTGTATACACAGCCATCATGGAACTCAATAATTTTCTCACAGAAACAATGCAAATAGGAGATTGTGGCCAGGCTCCCAAGCAAGCTCTACAAGCTTTTTTTTCCCAGTTGCAGTTGAGTTGATTCTGATTCATGGAAGATCCCGTGTGTGTCATAGTAGAACCGTGCTCCATAGGGTTTTCCAAGAAATGGAACTTGGGAGATGACTTCCTCCTTAACTAAGGGTAATAGACTTCATTCTAGGAGGAAGCCATATGGTATGGCGAGGAAGAAGTTTTTTACGGACTCAGAAAGTGGCAAAATTTCATAATAGTTCAGCTTCCTCCCACATCTCTCTGTACCTCCCTCTCACATACCAGCGACCCTTTGCAGTGACACTGTGGATCCTGTACTTTTCCCTCCTGTATCCCCTCCACTCTCAATGTCGTCCATGCTCCAAAAATATTTTCCACCTGACACCACATTCTCATTTTCTCAATATAACTGGTTTCAGATGAATAGGAGAAGTAAACACCAATCAGAATCAATGTATGAATATTCATTTAAAGGATACTTACTAATCTCAATAATTATCTGGTGGGTTTCAAAGAGTGTTACAAAGTAAAAAATATAAAGCAAGAAAGACATGTTAGGAGTAGATCAGTCCTGCCTGAGAGCCAATCTCCCATGATACAACCTTTCCTCCATCAGACCTTCCTAAGCCCTCTTCTGACCATATACTCTCTAGAACCTCAATTTGTCCCCCTACTGCACGCTTCCAGTAAGATAGGTTTGGTGGAGTAAGTGATCATTTGTAAATCAAGGATGGCCCGTATCACACAACAGTCTGAAATGTTAAATGCATGTGTAACATATAAGGAGCCACGGTGGTGTGGGTTAAGAGCTTGGCTGCTAACCGAGAGGTCGGCAGTTCAAATCCACCAGCCGCTCCTTGGAAGCCCTATGGGGCAGTTCTTCTCTGTCCTATAGGGTCGCTATGAGTTGGAATCAACTCAACAGCAATGGGTTTGGTTTGGTTTGGAACATATAAATAAAACTCAAACTTTAGCTTTATTGAACACTGCACTCTTCATACTCACAAACTATTTATGTGGAATTAGATCTCAAAATATTACCTTATCTAAGCTTTGTTCAGAGGTGATCTCTGGCGTTTACATTCATCACTCAAGCTGCTGCTATCAAATCCTAAGTACTTGGGTTCAGCATTGGTTCCAAACCCTTGATGTGTCTAAAAAACAAACACAGCAATATGAATTGACTTTTCTACAGGTGGTGAAAGCTTTTGTTGTCCTATCTGCACCCTTTAAATCATCCAACCCAGAGAAATTAACTCTGGAACTTCAGGATCACGTGAAAAAATCAACTGCACCTTCAAATACCCAAGAAAGGCAAGTACTTTGCCCAAAAGCTAAGCGTGTATTACCAAACTAGAGTCTAAGGTGGTATATAGATTTTACTAGCTTTTATAATAGCTTATTACATAGGTAGAAGACACCTATTTCAATGTTAGTGCTTATTTTGCTTTGAAATATTTTAAGACACCACAAATATTTGATAAACTAGAAGTTTTGATCATCTCTACAAACACTGAGTAACTACTAAAGATCTTTCTAGAACTACTCGTCCCATTTCATGAGGGAAAAAAGAAAAGATGGCAAAGAACTGCCAAGTGCCTTGTTTCTAGGGATGGCACTTGATTCATCTCAGTACTCTTGGGCCATCACACTTCTCTATGAAAACACATCATTTAAGTGATCACATTTAAGGGTCAGGAAGATGTTATCCAAAGCCACCTTCTTCAAAGGAGGAGTTAAGAACAATTCTATATAAATACATACAGATGGCACTGCAGTTTCCATCTAGCTGGGGAATCCCATTGGTTGATACTGACTAATCCACCTACATGAGAATTCTACCTCACTTGGCATCATTTCAGCCAAAAGGCAGTTAATTTTCAATCTAAGGACTGGTCACATTTTCTCCATTAAATTCACTAAATCAGCAACCAGCTGATTTTCAGAAATTTTGTTTGAGGGCATTTAAAAATATAGTAATCGTATCTTGCGGGAGAGGAACAAAGGGAGGGTTTTAGGGTCTTCAAGTCAGGGCATGAAGAGAAAATAGTATATACTCAAAATTATCCCTAAAATCTCCCTAAAGAACCTCCAGGACCCAGCCTTAAAAACCTCAGAAGCCAAGAACTAATTTGTTTCTCTTTGCATTTAGGTACTGCCACCATGTCCTTGAGATAGCAGAGGCCTAGGTCTAGTCTGAATTGAGGAAAGCAATGGGATAAAGGGATTATTTCCTTCTGGCAACACATAAAAGTACACTAAAAACATCATCTATACTATATAAACGCAATAGTTTCTGGTGTCCAAGAAATCAGTGAACCTAGGCTAAGTCAATCCCCACACTCTAAAATGCAACATCAGAGTTTCAATGGAACCAACTGTCATTTATGCTTTCTGTCAATTAGGTGGAATTTGTTCAAGAACTCCCAAAGACTATCACCAGAAAAATCAAACGAAATGTTTTAAGAGACCAAGAATGGGGACGAACATAACTTGATAAGAAAACCAAGGCATTGAGTATTTACATAGGTACTTTCTCTTAGTCCTTGCTTTTTTATAACTCAGTGACCAGTTAAAATGAGCCCTGGTGGTGCAGTGGTTAAAGCACTTGACTACTAAATGAAAGGTCAGCAGTTTGAACCTACCAGCAGCTCCACGGCAGAAGGACATGGCAGTCTACTTCCATAAAGATTACAGGCTTGGAAACACTATGGGGCAGTTCTACTCTGTCCTATAGGGTTGCTATGAGTCGGTATCGACTCGACAGCAACGGATTTGGTTTTCTCTTAAAGTGCTGTTTCCTTCTGATTGAAAAATTCAACTGAGTTTTTGTTCTGTATTTAGCCAAAGGGAGGAAGACTCTAAAAATATTTGGGAAGAAACTTGTAATGACCAAACTGACATAAGGGCAAGGGTTGCATTGATTTGTAGTGTTTCAAATAGCAAGAATCAAGTGATTACTTGGAAAAGGATAGTGGACAATGAGTCTGTTTTTCACTTTTCTTGTGCCTGATTAATTTAAAATAAAGACAAGAACTATTCTAAGAGAAATGGTCAAAAAGAGAATTTCTTCTGCTTAACATCTTTATATATTACCAATACTTTAAGGTGGATTAAAATATTAACGCTACAATTGAGAATACAACTCATTAAAAAGGCAGTAAGTGAGTTTGGTGAAATTTCAAGTACTCCATTACCGTACCTCATTTTGAAGCAAATTCATTACAAAATACCCAAAACTTAGACTATTTAGGAGTATTATTTGAGACTAATTAAATTTTTTGTATCTTTACTTTTTAGGGTTATGCACATATGATTCTTTTTAGTCGACTTGCTACATAATCTGACAAATAAACTTTTTAATGCTAACTGTACAGTAAGAGATTTTCCAAGAGACAGAAAGGAAAGGCACAGAACACCAATCTTTAAGAAAGAAATTTATCACAATTTTTCTGAAAACATCAGGAACTATGAAAAACAAGCTGAATATCTGGCCTTACCAAACGCAAAATACAGTAAAAATAACATTTGAAAACCATGTTTAACCTTAGAAACATGTTTTAAAATATACCAAGTTTAACACTCTTTCCTGTACAGAGCAAAACAAGTTTACTAAACCACAACACTTGAGGTCTTTAAATGACACAATTTTTTCAAATAAAAAATTTAAAGAAAAGAAAAGAATAAAAGCCTCAATCCCCACCCTGGAATCTCATCATTTATAAAATAACATGCTCAAATGTCAGTGAATATGAAGTTTATAAACCTGAAAACAAATCTTTCAATGAATTCAGATTCCAACAGAACACGGTTGTAAAGAATTGCAAGTCACACACAAGTTTTACCAAACAAATACAAAAGGGGATTGAAAACAACCTATAAAATCAAAACCCTTCTCTACAGTAGCAGCTTTCACAAAGTAAAAGGATTCAGTTCCACAGAGTTGTATGTCCTGTAGGCATATGGCCAATTTTATTCCCAGAGTCCCTTTGTCTTACACTATCAAATAAAAGTATCTTTGTCTTAGAGCAAGTATGCTAAAGAAGGCACCAAAATTCTATCTTCCCTGTTCCCCCAAATGATATTAATAATGCTCTTATTCTTTCAAGATGACTTCAACCCCATTAAGAGAACACTCTAAGTATTTAAAGATTTATTAAAGAAGTTCCAGCCTCTAGCACCCTTAACTGCATTAGCAAGGACCTGCCTATTCTCTTTGTCACCCAAATCCTTCAAGTCTCAATTACCAATTCTCATATTCACTACCCATTAAACTGACATAGCTAAATGTGAGAAATCTTAACATTTATACTTCCTAACTTTTTAAAACAAAAATACATCCAGTTCCAAATGTATGTACCTTAATATTCTCCATCTGGACACCTTTATTTTATAGCCCTCTTTGGTGTGTCTCTTCTAGTCTTTTTCGACCTTTTTTACCTTGGAGGAAAACTTGAAATAACTTTCAAGTTCAGGAAACCCTGAATTTATGTCAGTGTGACCACTAAGTTGTAGACATAAGAATACTCTTAATTCACAGAAATCTAGAGCTTGTCAGCCTAGGGCTCACAGAGTTCTTCCTCTCCTCTCAAGACAAATTCTCAGGCTGAGCAGAAGATTTAAAGAAAGGGTTCTGTACCCAGTCGTTGGGAAAATATTATTTGGTTTTGCAGTTTTTCCAGGTGATTTTTTATAAGGCATGTTGTTATCCTTCTTCATTCTCAAGCTCAAGTAGCTACAGAAACATTTCAAGAGTTTCTTTAGTTACACTTTTTCCAGAGAGTCAGTTTCCTTTTAAATCTAAGAATCTTGTCACTTTAAGAAAAAGCATTTTCTCCAAGACCGTGTGGAAACTTATTTGTTCATGTGAGGAAAAATGTCTCCTAAACTGGCTAGTTTCCTGTAGCCATTCTTTATCTTCAAAGGATCTGGCAAAATCTGACCTACTGGTTTCTTTTAAGTACACCGTTCAGCTCATATACCCTGCTGAGAACTCTTCTACTAACTGGAAGATCTGTCAAGGTTTTAGTTTCTGGCCTACTGTTTTCTTTTAAGTACTCTGGCAATTCACCATTCAGCTCATATACCCTGCTGAGAACTCTTCTACTGATAACTGGAAGATCTGTCAAGGTTTTAGTTTAACATCCTTGTGTGAATGTGTCTTTGTTTATTAAACATTAACCACTTTCCCAGCATTATTCAGAACTTATTTTCATCTCTAAGTTTTTTACATCAGCACCTCTCTGTGAAGAAAGCAGTGTGCTGTAACATCAATGTCAGGATTTTCTTTTTTAACAAGTGGCAAAACTTGCCATGGAACCAACCACTGATGGGGTGCCAGCAGTACAGATTACAGACTTTTGGTTTCCAGATATGAAGACACAGCATTAAATACATACTGACCTTTGTTCGGGGCAGCTCTGTGCAGCAGAAAAGGTTTTCTTGAATTGCATCATCATTTACAAATCTTACAAATGTGGTAACATGACAAATATTGGTGGAATCTGTTTACTCATCAACCTGGATAAAGAAGCTACTGCTTTAGTTATTTACATAAAATCTTACTAAATTGAGCAAAGTCTTTCAACTTCTCATACTGCATCTTGCCTAGCATTTTAATGATGCCATTGTTAGACTCTCAACAACTGTGTGAATTTTTCTTTCCTGGGATAAGTTCTGCCACTAAAAAACTTGCTTCCTGAACTTTTTAACTGAACGTGATTTTTTTTTTTTTTTTACACAAGTTTTACTCTGTTTTAATATTCCAATAGCCATTTAAAATAATCAACACCTGTATTTTCAAATTGCTGGAGCAATTGCTAGATCTATAAGTTGTATGCCACAGACAATGCAAAATGGAGGAAGACAGCTTGGTTTACAAGCCCACATAACACCCTTGATAACGCAGCTTTTGCTGTAGACAGACTTTCTTGTATTCCTTGTTGCTCCAGTACACTGAAGTAGCTCATATGATTGTAATTCTTTATCATTAACCTTATCAGAAATGTCTGCAGGCTAATACCTAGCATGGTCCTCTTCTCACACCTTGCCTTCATAAATTGTAGCACTGGACCATCAGATTTATTTGTGACAAATGTTAGTAAGACAAAAAAAATGGGCATAACAAACAAGAAAATCACAGAAAATACAAAGACATCACCAAACAACTCATTTCTAACCTACACAATCCATGTTTTTGCAATGTTTACAACAAAACAGCGGAGAACAGCTCAGTTGTGGTATGTAAAAATTACTTCCTTAGAATGAAAATTTTCCTCTGATATTCTATTACACAGACCTTAGTGTCCCCCACAGACCAGTTGGTAGTGCGTAAGGGGAGACTGGGAAGGTAATCATAAGGGAGAGGCCAAGGTCATCCTACCATCCTTCCCTCAGTGCATTACAGTGTTCACCAATTACCAACAGCTTCCCCCAGCTCAACCAAATACATGTGGGCCTGCCTACCGGAAGATGCCACGCAGGGCTGAAAGACCTCTAACAAAATTGTTAACAGGATTAATCAACTATATGAGACCAAATGATCAACATTTACCCTAAAACAAAGATGAGAAGGGAAGGAGGGACAAGGAAGTTAGATTAACAGGAACAGTACAAAAAGAATGGAAATAATGAGAATGTTGATGCATTGTGAAAAATGCAACCGATGCCATGGAACAACTTGTATAAAAATTTTTAAATGGGAATCTAATTTGCTATGTAAACCTTCACCTAAAACACAATATTTTTAAAAAAACAACTGTTAACAGGGCTGCTTGATTGCTGTTCACTAGTGTGAGTACCAGCCATACGTAGTACAGCAAGTTTAAAAAGAGTATTTCAGTCGCAATTTTTCATGGAACCCCAGCAACATCTCACAGAACCCCAGTTTAGAGACCCACCTTCAACACTGAATGGTTTTTTTCCCCTATGCGAGGTCATTTTCATTTGACTTGGGTTCTTTGGGGACTTGACTTCCAAGTTCAGGTTTACTTCCGCCTTCATTCACCACCTGTGTCTCAGACATTGGTTTTGTCTGCTTCACCTCCTCACTATTCCCTGGTACCTCCTCCTGGTTACATTTTCCTTCTGCTGGGTCACTTTGACTTGATTTGTCACCAGATTCCAGTTTAGCTTCTCTCCCATTTCCCACAGGTGCTGCCTGCTTTGGGTTAAGCTGTGACAGGTCCTTGGCACTCTTTACTACCTCCTGGAGATTGTACTTTCTGAACAACATGTAATCTTTCACGACACTCAGGCAACAGACAGCTTTGATGATTTCTACCACCACCGTGTACTGTGGATTGGTAAGATCCACTTTATTTTCTGAATTGAGGCTGCCTACTACTCCTGTAACAAAAACAAGAAGAAAACACTTAGGCTGAGAAGGATAGCATGAAGCTTGATGAATATAAAAACAATCTTTCATCCTTTTGTTTGGAAATTGTTAATATATACTAGTCCACTATTCTACATGGACTTCAATCAAATTCACTGAACCTTTCAATGTAAATAAATACAAACGAAATCCTAAGACATTTGACGAAAGTAATTTTCGTTTTAAAAAAACAAAACAAAACAAAAACATTCCATACTGATTTGGAAAAGACCATCTAAACAACCAGAAACTCTCATACCAAAATCAGGCTGTGTTGGGTTAACTTTACCCAAGAATTTGGTCTTTGTCAGTGGTTCCGGAGAGATAATCTCTAAAACTGTGGAATTTCCTTAGAGACTGAAATCTCTCTGATGACAGCTCCAGAACAGGTTTACTAGTGAGGTGACTCTTGGGTGGGGGGCTGGCCAAACCAAAAAGACCCACCTGGTGTTTTCACAACCTTAGGGGTAGGAGGCTGATTCAATCAATCATACCGAAGTAATGTGCCCAAATAAAGGCTCTAGACATGGAAGCTCCATGGGCTTCCTGGTTGGTAAAAGACATGGGAGGGTAGCATGTCCCTTTTTGGGATGTGGAAGCTACATGTTGGGAACCCTCCTAGACCTCGTCCTATGCATCTCTTCACTGGTATCCTTTTTGCTATAAGAAAACTATAAAGTATAGTACTTTCCTGAGTTCTGCTGAGTTGTTCCAACAAATCATCAAATCCAAGGGGGTAGTGGCACCCAGCAAGTCAGAAGGGAGGGTGTCATGGAACTCCCAAGCTTGCAGCTGGAGTCTGAAGTCTTGAGCAAACTTGGCAGTACAGAGGACTGTGTCCTTTAATTGTGAGGTCTGATTTAGCTCCAGAAGTCAGGGTCAGAAGAAGAAATGCTGCATGTGCAGCTGGTCAGAACAGAGGGGGAACAGAACTGATAACAAATTGATATGGACGGATCAACACACTTGGTGTTGGAAAAGTGGGACTTGACTTTCCCAGCAGTTTCAAACTATTTTAAGGATATTTTAGTATACCTGTTCCACACTCAAAATCATAAGCCTTAATTCCTTTTTAAAATTCTTAAAAGCAAGTATTTAATATTGGACTTAGGTGGAATCACCAAAAAACATACCTGCCAATTCTTTGATAACTTCTTCTCTATTCATGTGACTGTTATTTCGAGATTTGTATACAATCTGAAATGTCCCTTTATTTGGTGCTTTAAACCAGGGTTCCAAAAATGTTTCTGCATATTTTTTCATATCCTCTATGAAAGCCTTGCACGTGCCAGAGATGGGTAACATTCGTAGAATAACCCGAGTCTTCTTTTTCTTGGTTTTGTACATATCCTGGAGAATATGATGCACCAATTTCTCAGGTTCTAAAACAGAAAGAAAAAATCAGCAGAGAGCAAACAAGGAGGTTATATTAAGAATATAAGTTCTCAGACATTTTAGAAATTATTAAAACTTTCTAAATTCGCACTGACATAAGTTGAAGATGGAAGGAATTTTCACAATAAAATTTAAATGAGTCTACCTAGTCATTTTTTCTAATTATTTCTTCTTCACTGCCTATTGTATTTATGTAGTAATAATACTTAATAAATAATAATAAACAATAATATTTATTATTATTTTAAGTTCAGTATTATTGCTTTAAAAACAAATGTTCACGAAGACAGTGGGGCTAACATTTTTGTGAAATTCTGATTTATCTATCTACAACACCATTCTGTTTTCGTATAACAACTATCAACAGTAATAAAGCTTAAATAGTACCCACTTTCTTACAAACACAAAACAAAATTCTACAAGTCACTTAAAAGGATTTAATTAATCCATTAGCTAACTCAGCACAAAAAGTCCAGATCCCAGACTGGGAGAAGCAGCAGCCCCAGCACCTTGAAGTGCACAAGAACAAGAAGTGGAAGCCCTCAGGCCACATCCTGTCTGCATGTAAGTCTCTCTGGGGCTGCTCAGTGTTCTCAATATTTTTGAATTTGCTCACCACATTTGAAAATCAAGAAACCTATCCAGATTTCCAACTTCTTTTGAAAAACTGGAAGATCTGGCCTACCAAGACTACACTCCCAAACTGGCTGGAGCTGAGTAGCAGCTGCCCCTTTTAGACAGGACACATACTCTCGTTCTGCCTAAAGTTACTTCAGAAGGAAGAGGCAAAGCCAATGCTCCCAAGCCAATGCCACGTCCACTACCCCATTCCACCTCTCCATATGCCTAGTGCTAATACAGGTTAGACAAGATGTAAGCAAGTGAACTATGCCCAGAAAGCCATTTACCAAGTAGTGTTCAGTGAGACAAGAAAATGTTCAGATATTATAGGATGAACAATCTTACAGAGTGTAAGTCAGACACACCTATCCCAAGTGTTCTGATGAAGACAACATTATTCGCTCCACTCTCCACGGACTGGAATCTTCTTAGCCTCATCTCTGTAAACGCCCTGATGTCATCAACTTCCTTCTTCAAGGCAGCCTCCACATCATCGTCTTCTCCCTCGTCTCCAGAGGGCTGCTGATTCTTGTCTGTAAACTGGTTGCACAAAGCTAATGAGCAGAGATGTCACAACAGCTCATGTTTAAAAGTTACAATTAAGTACTTACGCGAAACTCCCAGTGGCAGATGGCTCAATATTGACAATAAAGCTTTTACTGAGAGACTGAGACACCCTCCCTCCAAAATGCAGAGGAAGACAGCAGTTCCCTCAGACTCAAACACATCAACTGAAAATGTTTTCAAAAGTATCTTGCATGTGGGATAGAGAGAAATGTGCTCACCAGAGGAATCATTTCAGGGAGGGCCTTACCATCACTAACTGTCTTTGTGCCTAATAAGTCAGTATACTCTCCTTTTGATGAGATGAGACCAGTTACTTATGGAATTCAAAGCCTTTACTCCTGTTCTGAGGAACAGAGCGCAGCAATAGTTCAAAAACTTGCTCAAGGCACCAGTACAGACAGGACATGGACTTGCTGCCCAGTTCTCTGCCCTACCAATGGGGTTTCCCATCTGACACTAATAATAAATGCACACGTTTATAAGCTTTTATTATACACCGGAAGCATTCTATGTATATAAGTGACTTTTTAGCTTTAAACAACCTTATAAAATGCTATTTTTTTTTTTTACAAATAAACTCTAGCTCAGCAGAGTTAAGTAGCTTGCTAATTCCCAGTTAGTAAATGACACAGCCTGAATTTAAATTCCCTCTGTGCTATCCTTTTCCATTTAATACCACGTGTGTAGGTGTGTATTGATCCATCCAAAATAAATAATATGATTTCCAAAACATGATAGGATAATTAGATTTTAGGTGGTATGAGTACAAAAGTAGGACCCTGGGTGGTGCAAGTGGTTTGCGATTAGCTGCTAACCTAAAGTTGGCAGTTCGAACCCACCCAGCAGCTCTGTGGAAGAAAGGCCTGGGGAACTGCTCCTTTAAAGATTACAGCCTTGAAAACCCCATGGAGCAGTTCTACTCTGTAACATATGGGGTCGCCAGGAGTCAGAAGAGACTCAAAGACAACAGATTTGTGTTCTTTTTATTTTGTCTAGTTTTTTGGTACAAGAGTTTTTACTTTTTAAAATATATTCTTATCTGCACTTGTGAAATAACTGGCACGCTAAACCCACTATTTCAGATATTATTGCTTAAGGCCCAAGGAGCACTGGTGGTACAGTGGTTAAGTGCTTGGCTGCTCACCAAAAGGTCAACGGTCCAAATCCACCAGCCGGTCCACTGGTGAAAGATATGGCAATCTGCTCCTGTAAAAATTCACAGTCTTGGAAACCCTATGGAGCAGTTCTATTCTGTCCTATATGGACCCTATGAATCAGAACAGACTCAACGGCAGTGGGTTTGTGTTTGGTTTTGGGTACTGCTTAGGAACGAATTACAGCGTGGTGTTCAGATTCAACAGCTGTTACGTTAGTTCCCATCCAGTCAATTCCAACTCATGGTGACCCCATGTCTGCAGAGTAGAACTGCTCTATAGGATTTTCAAGGTTGTGACCTTTCAGAAGCAGATCGTCAGGCCTATCTTCCAAGGCGCCTCTGGTTGGTTCAAACTACCAATCTTTCTGCTAGTAAGCCAACGTTTAACCATTTGGGCCACCCAGGGACTCCTCAGACGGTCTAAGATATAGCAAAAACAGTGAAATTGAATGAAGCTTGCCCTTGCGAACTTCAGCCATCCTTGAGTCTCAGTTTACTCTTGAACATTATCTCACTAGACTGTTGTTGTTGAGGGTTGCAAGTTATAAAGAGCTTCGGGACACCTGATCCTCAGAAAGCAGTTAACAAATGGGACCTATCTGAACCCACCAGCCACTCTGGTGGTTTCCCATAAAGATTACCGTCTAGGAAATTCTAGTGGCAGTTCTACTCCTGTCATACAGGATCGCTATATGTCAGAATGGACTAGACGGCACACACCACCACCACCACCGTGACTAACGATGGAAAAAAAAACCCAACGTGCAAACATTTGAAGCACAAGACCAGGCAAGTGTTCAAGGTTTCCTTCTGGCAGTCAAGAATTCCCTAGCTAGTGAGAACTGAGCGAGGATTCGAACCCCCAGCCCAAAAGAGGGCGGAGTCTGTAACCGAGGTACCGCGAAGGGGCGGAAACATACACCACGCCACGCTCTCCCGCCACCCAAGCGCCACAAACTGCGCGCATGCGTACAACGGCAGCTAGCTACGCAGCCTTTCCACCTCCCTCCAAGGCCCGTAGGCCCGCCAGCCCCGGGATGGTACCTTTTCCGGCCCATACATGTCATCACCGTACTCGTTGAGCAGGCTGTAGGCCTCCTCCACGCATTTGCGCTCGTTCATGTTGCAAGTAATGAGTATACCCTGTAGTCCAGGCTCCAGCTGCCGGGGTCCGCCGGCATCGCAGCGCCGAGCCCGCTTGGCCTGCACATACTGAGCCTTGCCTTTGCGCTTCCCGTCAGCAGGCTGAGGAGGCTGCTGGACCGGGGCCGACATGGTGCGTAGGAGCTAAGAACGAAAAACGTGTCTCCCCACAGCTTTCGGCGGCGTCTCTTTTGCTGGCGCCGCCTGGTTACGTCAGGTCTACGCGACAGACTCGCGTAGTCCCGCCTTCCAGCCTTAGTCCTTGCTTCCCCGGGTCCTAAAGCCTGTAGGCTCCCTCCTGTGGAGAAGCGACGCGAGCCTCGCTCCTGCCCCGCCCCTCGCGAGGATTGACTAGCCTTTGCTTCTGCCTCAACACTTTCAGGAGTGGTTTCCGTCGAGATATGGCCGCTGTGTGGTCCATGGTAAACCCAGCTTGTATACGTAGGGCCTGGACTCCAACTGGATATAGATTGTGCTTGCAAAGAACCATTTCATTTACTCATTCATACTCACTGATTCATTCAGTTAATATTTATTGAGCACTTACGTGCTAGTCGTTGTCCGAGGTGAGGGCTGAGAGAAACAAGATACCGTTCCTGCTCACATTGCCCTTAAAAGCTGACGTTTTTTAGAAGTCAGTGGGCCTTTCCAAACCATTCTGCTTATTTTTTGTTCCTATTGAAATAGTGTCTTCAATAGACTTTCCTCTAGTTCCCCTGTTGCAGGGCCCCAGGGGAGCAAAGAAAACTAGTACTATACTCAGTGAAATTAGAGGGACCTGACTATCAAAATAAGACACATTAAAATGCAAGGAAACAACTTTCTTAACATTAAATTGTTCCAGTGGGAACATTATCTATTTTAAATTTTTCTATTAATACCAAAAAAAAAAAAAAATGGTCCTTATCAATTTCTTCACACACTTTTGTCCTGTAATGAAATCATAACAAGTGATAGTGGCATAATTTTGGTGAATTGTTATTGTTGCAAGTGTACTTGTTTTGGATAGAAGTCACATTCCTCACTTTTGTACAAAATCATGAGGAGCCAAAAAAAGGGCTTATCCTTTATTGTATTTGGATGGATTATACCTAATCCAGTGGCCCAAAAATGTGGAATGTATTGTAGTTGGAAATCGGAAAGAAAGAACCTCTTATTTATTGTGAAACCTGCCTGCATCTCTTAGATTCCCATTCTTGTGATCCTCATGAAAATGTAATGCTGATATGAAATAATAGCCTGGAAATCCAATAAATATAAAAGAATTTTCATTAAGAGTAAGGAAAAATATTCATCTTTTTTCCTCCAAACAAGTATACCTTCACATTTCTTTCTCCATGCCTGTCCCAAAATAGCTTAATAAGAAAAACCAGCTATTCTCTCTGGACAACTAAGCAATCCCTTCAGAGTTTATAATATTCCCCATACCATAAAGTCAGGAATCCTTCCTCTTATACTTCATGCAATTAGAAGCCAACTTGAAAATTTGAAAATCCTTGTGTTAGGACTTTGACAGTGTATTGGTTGTGCTGAATGAACACACGAAGGAATAACGTGAATTTTTTTAACCTAGTTATTTCTATCTCTCATTCTGAGATTTGTTATGTATTAAACAACAAACTATTAAGAGGAAGAAAAGTAATTAGCCTGATGAACTGCATGGTTAACTGTTCTTTTAGAAAAAAAATTCATTATATGTGATTTTATATATATATATGTATGTATGTATAAACCAATTGCCATCAAGTTAATTCCAACTCATAGTGACCCTATAGGACAGAATAGAACTGCCCCATAGGGTTTCCAAGGAGCGACTGGTGGATTTGAACTGCTGACCTTTTGGTTAGCAGTCGAGCTCTTAGCCACTTTGCCACCAGGGAGATATATATATATACACACACACAAATAGAGAGAGTGAGTGAGTCCCTGGGTGGTTCAACAGTTAAGTGCTTGGCTGCTAACTGAAAGGTTGGAAGTTCAAGTCCACCTAGAGGTGCCTTGGAAGAAAGGCCTGGAGATCTACTTCTCTAAAATCAGCCATTGAAAACCCTATGGAGGACAGTTCCACTCTGACACACATGGAGTCACTATGAGTTGGAATCGACTTGACAGCAAGTTTGGTTTTGGTTATTTTCATCCCTTTATTATAGATTAGTTACCCTTCATCTTCAGGGAATAGATCTCTTGCCACTGAACCCTAGTCTTCTCTTGACTTGCTGCCCAATCACTGCTACCTTCAGAGTTTGTTGTTGTTGTTGTTAGGTGCCCTGGAGTCCATTCCAACTCATAGCAGCCCTATGTACAACAGAACGAAACACTGCCAGGTCCTGCACCAGCCTCACAATGGTTGCTATGTTTCAGCCTATTGTTGCAACCGTTGTGTCAATCCATCTCAATCTAGCTCATCGACGATCTTCCTCTTTTTCGCGGACCCTCTGCTTTACCAAGTATGATGTCCTTCTCCAGGGACTGGTCCCTCCTGATAACATGTCCAGTGTACCTGAGATGAAGTCTCGCCATCCTTGCTTCTAAGGAACATTCTGGCTGAACTTCTTCCAAGACAGATATGTTCGTTCTTCTGGTAGTCCATGCTATATTCAATATTCTTTGCCAGCACCATAATTCAAAGGCATCAATTCTTCTTTGGTCTTCCTTATTCATTATCCAGCTTTCCCATGTATATGAGGCAGTTGAAAATACCATGGCTTGGGTCAGGCCCACCGTACTCCTCAAGGTGACATCTTTGCTTTTTAGCACTTTAAAGGGGTCTTTTGCAGCAGATTTGCCCACTGCAATACGTCGTTTGATTTCTTGACTGCTGCTTCCGTGGGTGTTGATGAAATCCTTGACAACTTCAATCTTTTCTCCATTTTTCAGGATGTTGCTTATTGGTCCATTTGTGAGGAATTTTGCTTTATGTTGAGATGCAATCCATACTGAAGGCTATAGTCTTTGATCTTCATCAGTAAATGCTTCAAGTCCTCTTCACTTTCAGCAAGCAAGGTTGTGTCATCTGCATATTGCAGGTTGTTAATGAGTCTTCCTCCAATCCTGATGCTGTGTTCTTCTTCATATAGTCCAGCTTCTCAGATTTTTTCCTTAGCATACAGATTGAATAGGTATGGTGAAAGGATACAACCCTGACACATACCTTTCCTAATTTTAAGCCATGCAGCATCCCCTTGTTCTCAGAGTTGGTACATGTACGATTAAGAGCCCAGATTCTAGAGTCACACCTAGGTTCAAATCCTGGTTCTGCTGCATCCTGGCTGTGGGACTTTGAGTAAGTTATGTAATCTGAGTTTCCATTTTCTCATTAGCTAAAAAAAAAAAAAAATTAATGGAGATAATAATAACACTCACATCATGGGTTAATAAATAAGATCAAGCATGACAAGTGCTTAGCTCATGATCAATGTTCAATCAATGCAGGCTTAAAAACAGCTAGTGTGGCATTCAGGTGTGACTCACTGAAGCCTGGTTTTCTTTGCTATTAGTGTATCTTCCCCAGTCCAATCCCCACCCTTTAGTACATGTCTCCCAATTTCTTATTTCAGTGATTCTTTATATGTGTGACTTATTAGAAGCTGTGTTTAATCCTTTTAGGAAGACGGTTAAAAAGGAAATAAAATTTAAAGTAAACTAAAATGAGGTAGGTTGGACCTGTTTACCCTTACCTCTGCCAACTGGTTCATTCCTTGCATTTGACTGAATGGCACCCCAAGTCTTTCACTGGCTCTGTAGCCTCAGCCGACAGCAGTTACATCATACTTGCACTTTCCATACCCACAAGCAGCTTAAGAAACACTATGCTGCACACACAGGTTGTTTCAAAATTCCAAGCTTCCGTAAAACTGCTAGGAGGAGGATTGCACCCAGCGACATCAATCACTCCATGGGTGTCATGTCCATCTCTTTCTGATCAAGCCACACACAGGAGACACTCAGGAAGTGTTGGCAAATGAAAGCCGTTTAATTGCTCAAACAGATGGCAAGCAACAGGAAACGGTCCTAGGGCAAATTGGTCCCCCTTGCCTCAAAAGCTATCCTGTGGAGACGGAGACTCTTCTACACATGTCCCCACTTTGTACCGTAGGTGAGTGTGTTAGTCATCTAGTGCTGCTATAACAGAAATACCACAAGTGGATGGCTTTAACAAACAGAAATTTATTCTCTCACAATCTAGGAGGCTGGATGTCCGAATTCAGGGTGCCAGTTTCAGGGGAAGGCTTTCTCTCTCTGTTGGCTCTAGGGGAAGGTGCTTGTCATCAATCTTCCCCAGTCATGGAAATTCTCAGTGCAGGAACCCCGGGTCCAAAGGACATGCTATTCTCCTGGCTCTTGTTTCTTGATGGTATGAGGGCCCCATGTCTCTCTGCTCGCTTCTCCCTTTTATATCCCAAAAGAGATTGATTTAAGACACAACCTAATCTTGTAGGCTGAGTCCTGCTTCATTAACATAACTGCCTCTAATTCCATCTCATTAACATCATAGAGATAGGATTTACAACACAGGAAAATCACATCAGATGAAGAAATGGTGGACAATCGCACAATACTGGGAATCATGGCCTAGCCAAGTTGACAGATATTTTGGGGGACACAATTTAATCCTTGACAGTGAGGGACTAGAAAGTCCCTCCTCCAGCCAGTTTTATATTCCAGGGGCTACATGTCTTGCTGCATGGAGTGCAATGTAGATGTTGCTGCCTGATCTCTGGAGGAGGGAGTGATTAGACATTTGGGCACCAAGTGGAATTTCATCACTTTAGCCCTGCTGCTTATCAGACTTCAGGGGTGGGGAGGTGGGTGAGGGCATTGGTTTGTTCCTGAGTCCTAAAAATGCTAGCAGGAAACACGGAACGGGGAGAAACTACAGCTGTTTGGGCCAGCCAGAGGACTGCCTCCTCTAACACCTCCAACAGCCTGATTGCTCCGGTTGGAACCTTCCTTTGAACCAGTGTGAACTTTGATCTGTCCCTGGAGAAACCACATTTGGCCTGGCTCTTGTACTCCTACATGCATCCTCACTGAAAATCCTATGGAGCGCAGTTCTACTCTGACATTCATAGGGTTGCCATAAGTCGGAATCGATTTCACAACTGGTTTTATTTTAGAAAATGTGTAAGGGAAGGCGTCTTTGACAGGACACCTAATAAAATGAAGGGTTTGGTCAAGG